TAGATAGTTCTGGGCATGAATTCTTTCTAAATAATGACACCTGAGATGACACAGGTGTGACCTGACCAGGGAAAGGAAGATTCTATGTCAGTATCCTTTTCTCCATAACATCATCTATGTGGTGTTGTTCTCACTGTAGACTCCATCATACTGGTTATTCACTAGAGACTGTCACTACAGTAAGAAATAAGCCACGCCCATTGCATGTTTAAGTAAATGACTTTGCAACTTCTCCTGTAGGATTTCCTCTTTGACTTCATCAGATTCTACTTTCTAGGATTTATTTGTTCAATCACACTAGCTCTTTCTACCTGAGGCCTGAGATGGGAAAATGGTCCTCTCAGTCCTTTGGTTGAAAATATCTAAAAGAAAGTTGTAGCAACCAAAACATGCATATGCTTCAACATATGTATTATATTGATGTTTACAATAGCATTTAGTCACTCTACATATATGTTAAGACCAAAATGGCTTAAATATTTTGCAGATTTGCAAAATGATTATTCCTTTGGACATTTTGGATCAAATCCTAAAATATGTATAGTATCTGTTTACTTTAAATGCAGACTTTGGTTCAATAGATACTAGGTTGCAGTTGTTCATTCTGTGATCATGAAAATGTTAACACTCAAGCAACAACAGAAAGCACACATGTTGTCACTTGTCCAATCACCTGCCTTCTAGAAGAAGCATGTTATACACTGGGACAAAAAGTACCCAGCATTTGGGGCCAAACTTACTTTCATAATTACTTCTGCTTTCTGAGTTGAGGTCTCATGGATATCAGAACAACAACCTGCTGATGCCACTGATTTTCAGGGGAGCAGGGAGGTGCCTTCCTCAGTGTCCATGACTAAGTCTATCTGAAGAAACTGGCTTTTGGTTGCCTAGAAATTCTTTGGCTTATAGCTGTTTATTCTGTACTCAACTGGAAGCCATAATTTCACCAGCTTTTATATCATTATTTATCTTCAGAGTCATAGTGTCAAGCAAAAAAAAAAAATACGTTATTATCTGAAAATGTTTCTGAGAATCACCAGTGAAGAAAGACTAACAGTTAAGTGACTCAGAAAATTAGTCATGTGCTGAAACAGTTGTTCTGACCCATTTTTTTGTATGGCTCTTAAAAAAAATCATTAAGTTTTCTTCAAATTGATGAGTTTATACATATTCTTTTTAAAGACAAAGCATCTGAGGCAGTGAAATACCTCAGGGAGTAAAGGCAGTTTTGGTCATGCCTAGTAATCTAAGTTCTACTCCATGATCCACACAGTGGAAGGACAGGACAGGTTCTCACAAGATAGCCTTTGATCTCCATCGTATTTCTCCTACCACATACAAAAAAGTTTAATTTTTAAAATAATCAACAAGCATATAAACTATCACTGCCTTGTTCCTTTCCCTAGAGAGTACTCATTTTTAAATTTGGTGTAGTTTACTTCATGTTTAATTATGTTTATAAAGTCATACAAGCATACAAATACAAAATGTCCCAATTCCATAATAAGACCCATTGGAATATGGAATAATTTCATGTTATTCTATAATCTAATTTATAACTATAAATTATTATCTCAGACAAACCATTATAGTAAGCCAATATGCATGGTTTTACCTCATTATTTTAAAGAGCTGTGCAGTATTTCATAGTATGAATACAAAATAATTCATATAACCATTTCCTTGCTGATAAACAATTAGGATTTTCCAAATGCATGTTTTTACATTTACACATTAACACATATATCCACAAATGCATTTTAAAAATATTTATAGGACAGTCTAAAGACAGTATACACCTTCTCGAGTTTTATAACACATTTTCCAATCACTTTGATGAATGGGAACTCATAATGTTGCTTTCCCAATACCTTTAATTTTGCTGGATGTTGACAAATATTTTAAAAGTTGGTTAGCTAGTGTGTAAAAAAACATCATTTGTTGTTTGAATTTTTATTTATGTTGGGCCAGTTATGTCATAGGTCCTACTAAAGTTACATTTATCACTAGTTGAGAGATAATGAGTTGCTTTTCATACATTACTTTTAATAATTGCTTTTTCCATGAAAACACATTGTTAGCCTACCTACTAGGACTCTTGACATTGCCTTTCTGTTATATAAAGTATTGATATTACTAGAATGAAACTAAAAGAGTTTAACTTTAATCATCTGAACTGTCACTTTTAACAGTGTAAAGAGATCTATCAATCATCCACCCTAGCTATTACAATAAAACTAGCAAAACATTTTCATTTAAAATATCCCAATAGGAGTAATAGGAAAAAATGAGAGTGGGAATCCTCTGAATTTTTAGTTGGGAAACATCATCTTATACAAGCGGATCTCAACCTGTGAATCACAACCTCTTTGGTCCAATGACTCTTTCACAGGGATCAATGAAGACAATTGGAAAACACAGATATTTACATTACAATTCATAACACTAGCAAAAGTACAGTTATAAAGTAGCCGTGAAAATATTTTATGGTTAGGGGTCACCACAACATAAGAAACTACATTAAAAGGTTACAGTATTATGAAGGTTGAAAAACACTGTGATAAAGAAGCAACTACACAGACAAGAGCATAAAAAGAAATAGGTCTATTGTTAGAGAGAACATGGGGACTGAGGAAAGAGTTTGATGAGTGGGTAAAGTCAAAGAATAGGTATGTATCTAAGAAACAGTGAGAAGCTAGGAAGTGTGGTAGATTGTAGAGCTGACAAGGGAATAGACAGAGAACTTTGGGGGAGAATGGAGATTATTATATACACATATAAAATCTAAGAGGTGTTCAAAATCTAAGGAGAAACCATCAGCAACCAGATGAGTGAATCTAGGATCCAAGACTGAAGATGAGGAGACATTAGCATCAAGATGCCATTAAAAGCCCCCCAAAACTGAAATGGTCTAGTTGTATCCAAAGGCAGGAAAGGTTGAAACGTAGAGTTAAGCACTAAGTGTTCTCTTCAATTCTAGTGGTAAGCTGACTACAAATGGCAAGACTGAAATTTAAGTCTCTCTAAACTTGTAATCTGAATCATTTTAAATGTCTATGAGTTCCTTGTAAGGAACTGCTGCAGATAGTACAAAAGGAAGGAATTTCACATCCAAATGTTCCCAATAACCTATGAAGTAGGGAATTCAGGCATTTGTATATGAAGTTGAGGCATATTAAGTGAGAGAAGGGTACAGGAAAGACAATACACCCCCTCTGAGGATGAAAAAAAAAACCTGCATTCAACATACTTTGGGGGTAAGTCAATATAGATGTTAGTTAAGAGGAAGGACATTTGGGGTCAGACAGTAACTTAGAATAAACTTCAGATCGCCTTATCTCAGAGGTGGGTGACTTCTAACAGCCTGCACCCTCTAGGCTTCTCTACCCCCAGCACAGCCTGGTTGACTTATTTTCACTTTCTTCAAAGTATATGTTTTATTTCACTTCTTCAAGAAACAACAATTCCGGAATGTGCCTACGTCAATTAAAATGATGACAAGTAAAATACAAAGTCCCAATTTGAGGTACACTGGTTTGCAGAAATGTTGAAAGTTTACAAACGCATGACCTCACAGAAACGAAAGAAAACAGATCTCAACTAATTTTCACCTCATAATTTATCTTACATCATCCAACTGGTTCTTGAAAAACCACTCTGAAGGTTAAGAAATAGTTCAACACTATACATCACAAAAATTCCATCTCCCTCTGACTTTCAGATCAATTTAATGTTCTTTCTTCTGGCAATGACTAAGGAACAGAAAGATGACTTTATACAGATATTCTAGCTAACACACACAAAAATGCACCCAGAAATCAGTTCTGTTTTGAACACTTAAAAAAGAAAAATGCCAGTGATTTTCCAAGCAAGTAGCTGAAAAGGCTTAAAACACTTGGTGACTTGAAAAACAGCCTTTATGTACTGAGAACAAATTGAGTGTCTTGATTCATGAGTAAGCAATTTTGATGAATAATCTACTTCAAAGATTCCTTAAATGTATCATTTATAATAACATACACAATAATATGGAACTGATAACCCCTGATTGAATCGTAAGTCATGATTACATAAAAATTAAATTAAATAGTTACTTTCTTAATTGACCGTTTGGCTCCAAATCTAATGGAAAATATAATAAAGTGAATATAAGAGAAAATAAACACAGTGTTAAACACAGTGAATTTAATAGAAAATCAAACAAGGTAACAATTTCCTTTAAAACATTGTTCACCTGGCACAGTCTAGTTGGTTTACTTATTTAACTATTTATTGGTCCCAGCCTCCAAATCCACAGAGAAAAAGGGAGAGAAGAAGACGAAGGAGAAGAAGGAAAAGAAGGAGAAAAAAGAAAACTTCAATTAGAAGAAAATAAATGTTCTAATTATTTAAAAAAAAAAACTGTAAATAAGCCGTAAATAAGGCAGCCTGGGCTGCAGAGTGAGTGCCAGGATAGGCTCCAAAGCTACACAGAGGAACCCTGTCTTGAAAAAACAAAATAAATAAATACATAAATAAATAAAACAAAAAACTAAATAGAACTTTTTCATACCAGATACTCTAAAGAAACTGTAAGCCAAAGGCATCATTTCAAATTCCTCAGTGAAAACTACAAAATTCATATTGCAAAGATTTAATCAAATCAGGATTGGTGAAAATGACCAAATTTACATTTTCCATAAACGATGATGTGAAAACTTGAAAGGGGAAGTCTATTCAACAGAAGAAACAGCCAATGTTTCTCTCTGCCCATTATGTGTTTATCTCATCACTCACTATGGGCTAAATAAACAAATAAAGTGAGAAGGAAGATAGCTGAGATTAAAAAAAAAAACTCATTTGGAAAGAAAGCAATGAGGCAGTGATAGAATTCGTGCAGAACAGGGAGGACAGAAATGAGTAAGGAAAGGTAACTGGCAAAAGTGAATGTTTCAAAAAGATGTACACTTCCAAAGAAGAGAATGAAATCATTACTAATCTGGCCTTGCAGAGAGTCCTACCTGAGCGAGAAACACACATAACCCATAAAGCAAACAGGAGCAGAAGGGCGCTTGGCTTCCATCTCCAATGGCTGCACCTTATCCCTGGTGCCTCATCCATCCTGCAATTAATGACAGAAAGTCACAGTCAACATGTACCCTTCAGTAAGGAATTAGGACAAATAATGCTAAGTGTGGTTCTCAGCAGGGACTGACTATAGAATAAAATGTTAGTCTTATTTTCAAATAAAGACTTTCATGTAAAGGGAAAGAACCCAGGACCTTAGTGTGAAGCAAATGTTCTCAGCCATGTCCTCAGAAAAGACTTAAAAGATAGTGAGGACCAACTCATCTCCTTCAAGCAAAAGAGAATGAAATCCAGGGGTTGGGGAGTTAATAAAGTGCTTGATGGGCAAGCCTAGACAGCTAAGTTCAGGTCTCCAGGACCCATGTAAAAAGCCAGGCTGAGGTAATCCCAATGCTGAGGAAATGGTGACAGAAGAACCTTGACCTGCAAGACTGGCCCAGTGAGGAAGCTTCAAGGTCAGTGACAGATTCAAAAATGATGTGGATAGTGACGACAGAAGACAGTGGATGCTGATCTCTGGCTTCCACAGGCATGTGCACACACATACAAACATGTACACACATACCCCCTAGACACATACATGTACATAAATTCATCCATTTTGTTTGTTACCTATGCACTTGTACAGGTCCAAATTTGAATTCTCTATTTAATGGCCTCTGTATCTTCTGTCTCCTGACTATCTCATCTCTTGCATGAGTCAGAATCTGTACCTGCCTAAAGGCTGTGAATATGCTTGTTCCTATGTCTGTTTTTGTTCCTGTGTCTGTGTGTGTCTCCGTGTGTGTGTGTGTGTGTGTGTGTGTGTGTGTGTGTGTGTGTGTGTGTGTGTGTCTGATGTGTCTCAGTACAAATTTTGTCTGCCCTTATTGGACAGCATAAGAAGCTTCAGGAGGGGAAGAAATCTTTAAGAGTTTTAAAAAAGATTAAGTCATAGGCTCCAACTGACCCCCACTGACTCAGACAAAAACCATTATCAACCAATATCCATACATGGTGGCTTTCAACTTTTGTGGTAGATTTTTTAGGAAGTTGCTTTCAACATGTGGTATTTGCTGCCTTCAGCAAATGATACATATACATTGTTCTGGGCCTGGGCATGGAGGAACACATAATATAAGTTTTCAGCTATGTGTTAGCTTAGATGGTGAGAGCTAATTACAAGGAAAATCCAAAGCAAGTAAGGTTGGCTTTACATTGTTCTCTTAAAGGCAGGTTAAACAAACAGGTGGGGTATACAGTAGGATAGCAGTCCTAAGTCGACCTTACTAACTCTGGCTACATGGTCCAACAGAAGTCCAGTGTTTTAGATTGTAAGAGATATTTTCAGAATATAGCATCACCAAACACTTGTTTGTACCTTCCTTACTGTAGGTGATTTCTTAATGAAGATGGGTAAATATTCAATAACTCTAGAAATAAAGCATTATCTTTTTTGGGGTTATTGTTTTAAATCTTAATAAAAAGTTTTCATGTTATAATATCTGATGTCAAAGGGTAATACTTAAAATAAAATTAAATTTCTCTTCTTTCCCTAAAATGAAGCACTGAACCATTAATATTCAAAACAAAAACAAACAAATGAAAATAACAGCAACAAAAAAAGAACCCATTATTTGTAACAATATCTATCAGTGTTTTCAAATGGTTAGTAATCACCAAGTAGTTCAGAAACTACATTAGATGCAGTTGAAAACATTTAGTGTTTTCAGTGTTACCAGCTTCCATTTTTAAATGACATTTATTGTGTTTGTGTATGCCTGCACACATGTGCAAGTCAGAGGACAACTTCTGGGAGTTGCTTTTTTCCCTTCCATACTATGGGTCTCAGGGTTATAAGACTCAGTGTCAAAAACCTTTACCTGGTTGGTAACCCATCTTGATGGACCAGCAGAGTCATACCTAAATAGAACGATGTTATTTACTAAGATTCCACGTTGTCATGGCTCACAACAGATTTAATTGAGTCAGCATCTTTAAAAGAGGAAAACCTGTGAAGGATGCAATAGGAACAAAAGCCATTTGTTGAAAGGGGCCATGAAAGGACTGGTACTGAGCGGAGGCAAGGGCAAGCAGGCAAGCACTAAAGCAATGGGAAGTAATCTCCAGGGCTTAAAATACCCAAAGAGACAGTAAAGTTGCAATTACTACCAGAGAGTAATTTTATTTCTAGAAAGGCAACATTCTTAAACCCTAAAGTCTGCTTATTTTGGTAACGTATGTAACACTAAATGAGAAGCCAAAAAAACACTCAGATAAGAAAACATACATGAAAGAGTTTTGCATCTTTTTTTTTTTTTTTTTTTTTTTTTGGTAAGAGGTAACATTGCATCAAAGAAAACATAGATTAAAGTAAAACAGGTCTGGGGGTCTGGGTTTGTTTCCTAAGACCTATGCAATCCTAAAATTCTACTTGACCTGTTGTACCTATGTGTCACTTGTAAAGAACAGCAGTGCACCTAGCCCATAGAACCACTGGCTGACAATTTCAAAATAAGAAGATGTCTTCAAAAGTCCGTGCCTGGTACCTCAAGCATTCCATAAATAACAGCTGTTGTTATAATTACTGTCAGGCCAGGTATGCCAATGTGTTTCATGTTTCTTCTACCCACTATAAAATAAAATGAAAAACCTTCAACAATAACAGATGATAAGCCTCATCATTTATGCCAACATCCATTGAGTGAATCTGGAGTTACTTCAGGGATCATCTGGGAACAAGATAAACTTATTTGTGCTGGCTATGAATGAATACATTTTATGTAGTGCCTAAAGCTCATATCACAATCTTGTTCTCCACATTCTACAAGTTCTAGCTACAGGTAGCTGTCTATTTGGAATTTCTAAAATAAGATAAAATTAAGAACCAAAGAGGGCTTTGGGGGGGGGGTATGGTAAACATGTTTTCAGATATTTTCAACCAATATATTTGAAGCTAAAAGAAGTTACCTATTAAGAGGGACATATTTGAATATCAATATTAACAGTGGGTACAAATTCTGGAATGGCCAGAGCTTACAGCTTGTTCCTCTGTTGACTGTGTGATTTGTGGGATGGGCACTTTGGGAGACACTTAAATTGTCAGCCTAGTCACTCTTCTGTAAATGGGTTGCTACCACCCACAAAGAACTGCTAGTTCTAGCTCAGTCATTCGGGCTTACACAAGCTATATAATCTGTCACAGAGAAAGGTTACTTAGCTGGAAGAATGGGCCTGTTTCCTATTGTAGGAATGAGGAGTTCACCATTCATGAATAAGCTGTGCTTCTAAAACAAAAGGACAATTACATATTCAAAGAAGTTTAGAGAACAGAAAATCTAAAAGATGTCTAGCTTACGATTTTCACAGAAGGAGAAACTGAGGTCCAACAAAATGAAAAAGAACAAACAGAGGTGGCTGACAATCTTTCTAAGAGTTATATATAGGTCACCCTTCCAGCTTCATACTCACATCAACATGTGAGCAATGTCCCCTCTCTTGAATTCATGCATACTCTCAAACAGAAGTGTGCTCCTTAGCCTGGATACCAAACACCGTTTATTTTCCATGTAACTTCTCCTTTACTATAAAAGGTGTTCACAGTTAGGGACACTACAACTGATCCTTGAGTTGTTTCACCAAAGCTGCCTGCAATACTATCAAGCAATAGCTGCAAACGAAGACTAGGGCTTGACACATCCCGGACTCAGGACTCCATCATTTTTTTCAGACACAAAAGGAGCCAGAACAGAGTAAGCACTTGTAACAAACATAACATAAACCATATGACAAACCAACTTTCATCTACTTTACTGTTTACTGAATAACAGAAACAAATAAATTTAGAACAGGGGAAGGAAAGCACTGTGGGTCTTCTCAGGGGATCACTTAATAAAGATACATCCCAGAATTTAAACAACTTTCTCAGAAGAATGGAAAATCCCAAGCAGGGTTACTAAGGTTCTAAAAAGGGACTTCAACTTGGTACAAGCTTGAACGTGGCCTCAGAGTTCAACCACGAACAGAAACAATTTTTTCAAGATCTACTTTTCTTTTTATTTATGTGTCTCTGTCTGTGTGTGTATATACCAGGTAGATAAGGGTTCCCATGGATGTGAGAAGAGGGTGTTGTTAGATGCTCTGGAACTGGGGTTACAGGTGGTTGTGAGCCACCTGATATAGATGATGGGATTGGATTCTGGTCCCCTGGAAGGAGAGCAAGCACTCTTAACCACAGAGTCATCTCTCCAGCACCCCCCCCAAAACATATTTTAAAGGAATACAGAGTCTTGTATAATTTGAAAAGAATTGTTTTCACTCTGAAGATACACCTCACAGACAAGAAAATAAGAGATTAAACTACTTGCCCAGCTTTCAGAATCAATAGTAAAACCCAATCGATTTGTGTGCCCTGGCTTCTAATCCTGCTGCCCATTGTGAGGACAAGTTACCTCTGCTGCAACATTATATTAAAACAATAGGCTACAAAACACAATATGCTTGAGCCCCATTTCAAAAAGTTTTGGAGAACAAAGTGAAGTTACAGAAGACATTCTGAAATTAATATAGAAGTTGCCAGAATATTAGTTCTGCTAATATCAATAGTTGGAATTCATTTCCACAACCTTATTCTTACTGTATTTCTATGGCAAATCTTTTTCATAAAAGTGTTCAGAAATGACAGAGAACACTTTGAGATTCTACCAAGATAAAAAAAAAAAAAAAAAAAGAACAGAAATTTAACATATTCAAGCCTGTTTATAACAGCATTTCTTCTTTCAGTGAAAGGTCATGTTCCCAAGAGTAAGCAATGTGTAAAAGAGTCCTGTTACTGAACTCAGACCTTTTCATTAGGCTGGTTTACCCCCACTACAAAAATCTCACTTATTGTTCAGGTCTTCAGAACAGTAAGTTCTGCCTTATTTGAACAAGAATATGAATGACTGACTCATATCATAAAGTCAACTTAAGAATTTATATAAATACACACACAGAGAGAGGGGGTATATACAAAAACACATGAGTG